CTTTTGATTGCAATCTGGTCCTCTGTTGGCTAAGATTTCTTTTCGTGAGCTATACTGCTGCCATATGTGATAAACTACGGAAGAACTCGAAAATGATCGCTACATTTAATTATTGCATTAATACTTAAGCTTACCTTTTAAAAGTTCAACGATAATTCTTCTGTTGCCATGTTAATTTAAAGACAATTTGATGTACGTAGGTCCTTACTTTCCATACAAACAATTACTTTCATTTCATGGGTAACTTTTGCTGGATTTTGCAATTAATTCTCATTATTCCCAAATTTATTTCCAAGTTATAAAAATGGTTTCAGTCATGATGCTCTATGGTCTTCATTGATCCAGGTAATTCTGAACAGAACCTTTTATTTAATCTATGGGGGTAGTTCTTGTTTCACTGCCCATGTCTAGGGATATTTCATCTAGTTTTTATTTTTAGCACTGCTCAATTATTGCTTACCCAAGTATGAGGAAAAAGGACAGTATAAAAAAAATAACAGTTTCAGTTATGATGTTTATATTCAATATATACTCCATTAAGGTCAATACACTTCTGCAAACGTTGATATCAGCCTTTAAGCCTGTCTGAGCCCCAAACTCTCCACCAGAATTGTGTGTGCAGAACCCACAGAGATGTTGAGTGTGTCTGCTACTGATTCTGTGGTTATTTTTCAGTCATTTTGCGAACAGCATCAATGTTTTTGTCACAAAGTGATGTTGATAGCCTGCCACTGTAGGGCACATCTCCAATTTTGTTTCTTCCACTTCTGAACTGACTTATCCATTTGTAGGTTGGTGATTTTTTGGGGAGGCGTTGTCACCATAAACTTGTTCCAGAGTGTCAATGATTTGTCTATTCTCCTAACCAAGTTTCACCATGAATTTAATGTTTGTCTTAGCCTTGATTTTGGTGGATTCCATATTGCTTGAATGGTGCCTGACTTTCAGCTGGTGGTGTTGCCTTATTACCTACAATAAACGGTTCATGTTTGAACACGTTATAACAAGAATGTTCAGGTGCATTGGAATTAAAATCCTTCCATATAATTTTTAGTTATGGACTTTTTTCACAAACTTTTTGAAGCACCCTTGTAGACACTGCACGGCTCAGAGATTGAACACACAATTACTATGTGTGGGGAAAATTGTGAAAATTGCCTACCTCGGAAATGTCCGCGAATCTGTGCATCGTGCAAACTCTGTTTGTTCAACAATAAAAAGAACCAAAACGGTGGCGCCCATGTTTTATGCCAGGCGGTCTCGGACTGTTCACGCGAAATCTCGTCTCATCATTCGCATGCAAATCATGGTCGGTCCTCGGCTGTATAAAGCAGGCGCGTTTTTGTTTCTGTGGATGGTGTTTTTTGCTCGTGAGAAGGTTGGACATGTGACACTATTTTGTCGGTTACCCTCCTTGTGTTTCCTTTCTGCTACTATCAGTTGAGTCGTTGCTTTACCACCACAAGCTATTTCGACAATGGACAAGTTCGATTTAAAATTGATCCCAGAATTCGACAGCTCCCCCACAGGCCTGACTGTCGTTGAACAGTTTGAGAAGGCTGAACATGTTTGCAGGGTGTCCAAAATAAAAGAACAGGCACTGGTCATCCCACTGAGACTCACGAGGGAAGCCTACGCCGTATATCAACAACTCGGGGACGATGCTGACCTAGAGATCAAGAGTGCCCTATATATGGCCTTTGGAATAGACCCCTTCATCGCTTGGAAACAGTTCATCGGATGATGGCTCGAGCTGGGTGAGACGGTGGATGTCTACCTGGCTGATTTGCGAAGGCTGGCGGTGCTGTTTGGCGGAGTAACAGACCGCATACTGGGATAAGCCTTCCTGGCAGGACTTCCAGACGACACCAGTTGGCTCCTGCGAGCGTCTTCAAGATTGGACACACTGGGAGTTTTTTGCTTGTGAGGAGGTTGGACGTGTGACACTATTTTGTCGGTTACCCTCCTTGCGTTTCCTATCTGCTATTATCAGTTGAGTCGTTGCTTTACCACCACACTATGTCAACAAATTCATCTTTCGCTATCCCAATGTCCCTTTGGATTTTAGAAATGATTTGTTTTTCTCTCTGGTAGCTTGGACCCCATTTATTTCTTTTTGCTTTTGTTATTTTTGAGGTTTTAGAAATTGTCATTATAGTTATAAAAGGAGGCACGGTGGAGTAATGGATAGCGGCTCGGATTGAGGAATCAGAAAGAGGAGTTTGAATTCCACTCAAATCCATTACATTCACTTACATGCTAATACCCTTGGGAAAGGTATGAATCCTCTTCTTCTCACCCCCAGCTATGGTTAAATAGCAGGAGAAACTGGGTTCTATAGCCTTGGATGGCAATTGGTCTACCGCAGAAAGAAATGGCAATCTACTGCGAGAAAAAATCTGCCTCATCAGTCATGTATCAAAAGATACATGATCGCCTCAGTGTGTATCACACATAGCACATAACTGACTGACCAAAGGGCATAAAACATTTTGTTTCAGGGTGGTGTACTTACAAAATCGACTTGCCCTATTTTGTATAGAGTCAGGAAACTACTGAAAATTATTTTGTCCTGCTAATGAGGTCATCACCTGATGAATGCTTTATTGAAGGCAGCTTTTGTTTTTTTTTTCGGTAGCATTTGCTTGAAATTAATTTAATGTGATTTTAAATGTGTGCTGTGAATTGTCATGATCTCTCCTGTTCTCTTTATTCCCCCTCTTCTTGCCAGCCAGCCAGCCATCTTGCTCACCTTTTAAATTTTAGAAAAGGTTAAAAATGTCACGTTTTATCAGGGCTGATAAGTAGGTTATCTCAAATGTCTAGGTCAGAACTATGGTAGCCACAAAGCATTACTATGGCCCAGTGGCAAAAAGTGTTGATTGAGTGATCCAAAAAGTGACTTAACCCAAACAGTTGTGAGTTCAATACCTGGCCACAACAGAGGGAGTGAAAACTTGGAGAGTTGAGTTACTAAAGGTAATTAACTGAAAGCTATGATATCCCAAAAAAAAGCATGGCACATAGAATTAAAATAATCTACCCCTGGTGACTAAATAAAGAAGGCTTAGTACCAAAGCGATCAAAGGTGGAAACATTGTGAATATTGTAATAAAAATGAAGAAAATAGTTTGAAGGATATATATATATATATATATATATATATATATATATATATATATATGAAGAAAATTTGGAAAAAAACAAAAGCAAAAATCCTTAAATGCAATTATGTTGTAAAAAATGAATGAAATGTCGACGTCTGCCGTTTCGGGTTTAATAAACCTTCTTCAAGACAATATTCATTAAAATACAATTCAGTTCAATTTGACAAAGACGATGGACACAAAAAACAAGTCTTATCCAAAACAGATAACTGAAAATTTTTAAAATAATCAGCTTTACGTTTAGCATGGTCACGTTGTCGTCACATGGGCAACGCTTTTAAATTTATATTCCTAAAATTTTTGATTATTTTGAATGAAAAAAGAAAATGAAAAGAATTCTATTAGGATCTAAAATTTTTATGTGTATGCTTGTCGAAGGTTTATTAAACCGAAAACGTCAGATGTCGACATTTCATTCATTTTAAACAACATAATTGCATTTAAGGATTTTTTGGTTTGTTTTTCCAAATTTTTTCTTCATTCTGTCGGATCTATATCCATTTACATTTGCTTACATATGCAATTTATATATATATATATATATATATATATATATATATATATATATATATAACTTAGTGTTTTGGGCCAGCAGATCATTATTTAAACATATTATTAAATATAACAGACAATGAGTGTCTATTATGTCTGATCATGAGTGATTCTAATGTTCGAATGTTTGCTTTAATTTCTGGTGAAAATAAAGACAAAAATTGTCCAACATTTGGATATTATATTATTAAGTTGGTCCTAAGCTTTCAGCTCACATGAGCCATTCTCAGAGTGGTTATATGGACATGAAACAAATATATCCATCGCCAATGATGATATTTTGTTATTTTGACATTGAAAATTGCTATGTGACGTCAACAGTCATGGTATAGCAGATGCAGATTGTAAGTTCAAGATGCAGTTCTATGTTGTCATACCGCGTGATAGGCTGAAGTATTACAACAGAACCAATGTCTAGAAGCAACGTAATGTCTTTATTTTAGCCCACATAAATGATATTTATATATATATATATATATATATATATATATATATGGTAGGCTCATGATTAAACATAAAAAGACATTCATTGTCTTTTATATTTAATAATATATGTTTAATATATATATATCATTAAAATTTAAAAACAAAATTTAATTTATTCCTCATATCATTAAAAAAGAACAAAGGTGTGTTCGAAAATTCTGATATTAAAATCTATTTCTTTGTGCTTCTGTTCAGTCAAAAGGTTAATGTATAATAAATATAGATTTTATTGAAAATGTTGGTATCATTTTGTGGGGTTTTTATTCTTCAAATTTTATTAAGTGGCTTATTAAATCTCCTCTCTCTCTCTTTCATTGAATATGAGAGACGAGGTGCTTTGATTTAGTTTTTTATACAATTTCACAAGCGATCTAATAATTTTTTTTCTTTCCAGATGATAAATTATATAAAAACTGCCCGGATGTTCTTTTATTCCGAGCGCTTTCAGCTATAAATTTATCCATTTTCAAGGATGAAATATTTTAATTGTTAAATAAGAAATAGTTTGTTGCATGTATGTATTTAGATAATGTTTTCATTTTTCAAAACATGGTCAAGATATTGTATCCATGTTCATAGTTGATATTATTAAGTGTTGTTTTTTTTTGTTTTTATTAATAAGGCTTTCATTATTTTCAGTTTTTTTTTTAATGTAGATGATGCTATTATATTTGTGTTGTCAATAAGTCTGTTACATTATTATATTGTAACCTACTTGTATTTATTTGCACCAAAGTGGTAAAGAATAAAATGATTTCATCTGAATTCGTGTTTTTATTTTTCTCTATTTTCTAGACTACATTCCATGGGCGTTTAATGCACTTTTTGGATGTTATTGATCCACGAACTTTGCTTGTTAGTGATGCAAACTTGCAGTCTTCAATAAAACTACTTGAAGATTTTAAAAATGGTACACTTCCTCCAGGCACCACTAGCAAGGAATTATGGGAAGCTAAAAAGATTAAACAGGTAAGTGTCTTTTTTTTCCGTCTATTTTTTTTATTTTCTGGGTATAATCATTTAAAAATGAATATTATTTATTGCTATATATGAAGTGCAGTGACATAATCAGAATAGACTTACCCTATTTTGTATAGTCAAGCAACTACTACTAAGTCAGTCGTCACTCTGTATAAAGAGAACTTTTATGTCACAGACTAGAAGACATCACAATAATATGGCATTGTCAATAGGATCTCTAACACCATATGATAAGCCAGACTTTGTGGAAACCTGGATTCATTGTTTTGCTGCCCAGATACAGACAAAGAAGTTAAAAGATCACAAAGTTGCAGGACGCGAGATTATAGATCTCTTTTTGGCTTTGGCAGGATTTGAGGCCATCAGAAAGATCTGTCATGGCGTATCCCAGAGAATTGGAGGATTTGACCTTTTTTCATAGATTTCAGACATTATGAAGAGAAATTTGTGGATGAAAAAGAAGTTGGTTATTGCTGAGAGGACAAAGTTTCCCCACAAGCAAGCGAGCCAAACAAAACAATAATATAGTATGTACACAAGCTACGAGCTGCTTCCAGATTCTGTGAGTTTGAAAAACTTGGCACTGAAGAAATAGCCATTGAACATGAGTTGATACAATTGAAATTAACTGAAGATATATATGATGCTTCATACAAACACAAAATTTTAAAATGATTGCGACTAAAATGTCTTTTGATGCTTCTTCTCCTTGGATACAGTTTCTGCAGTAATTAGTTAATTGCAAAATTCAGTACTTCCAAGAGTCATTTTCCACATTCCAACCTCTATCTCACAGGTGGAACATGATGAGCCTCTTGCTGCTCTATTGCTGCTTCCATGAAAAGTGATCAGATGAACTACATTCCTTGGCTTCTTGCCAGGTCTAACCTTCACGGCTAGGACATGTCATGCCAGTTACATTGTAGCAAGCCACCCGCCTTCTCTCCATATTCCATCAGCAAGAAATAAGTTTCATTTGAATAGTTTCTTCCTGTGAACCACTGCCCTGTGGAACAGACTCCTAAGTGGATGTTTCCTTGATCACTATAATCTTAAACTATTCAAATCTAGGGTTGACTGTTATCTCCCCCTCCCATCTATATAAACTATCCTTTTAGATAACCCTCTGTCTTGAGTGGCCTCTGAGCCTTGTACAGTATCAATGAACCTTACTGTAAAAAAAAAAAGTAATACTGAAGCATACTGCATAGAAAATTAGCTTGTGTGATGCAAATAAAAAGCATGAATGGGACAAGAAAAATTGTTCAACTTTAGGACAAGTATGCTTAAATTGTGAAAATATGCTTAAATTGTGGGATAATGACAACACAGAGGGGATTAAAATTGGAAATGTGGTGGCCTAGGTATTTGTGTGATGTAGAAAAATATATACTAAAATATGTACTAAAATGTAGGGAAATAAAAAAAACTTTCACCAAGACAAGATACATTAATGGCCTAAACAATCATGAGTCCTTGTTCATATAAATCATGCTCAATTTAAAGGAATAAGACTATTTTTAGTTTTGTTTGAATCATTCAATGGAAGGCCTGAAGTAGTTAGTTCAGTCTAGGAAGGCAGCCATGGTAAAGTACATATTACAAGTAATATTTTCTAGAAATGGGGTGCCAAAAACGTTACTTTCTGATAATGCATCAGAATTTTGTGATGAAACTTGTTTGTGGTTAAAACAAATTGGATGCCTCCCTTATAAAACACCACCATACCATCTAAAAATCAAATGGAATTGCAGAAAGAATGGTACAGGTGGTGAAAATGGGGTTGAAGACATTTTCCCCATCCAGAGACACCATAGATTGGTATCTACTGAGACTATTACTGAGTTATAGAACTATTCCACATGCTGGTAGAATTCAAAGTTCCTCTGCATTGATGAGAAGACAAATGTTCAGCTTTAGGACAAGTATGCTTGAATTGTGAAAAGAAAAATCATTTCTAGTTTGGGTGTAAATGTAAAAGAAAAATAGAAACGGTAGAAAATTTATCCCTGACTCAGAAAAATACTGCTGTATTTGTGATACAGAGACAAAGAGCAAAAGTAAAATTGAATGGTCCAAGTATGTGAACGATGGTTCAGTGGCTCTCTGATCAAAACATTAGGTTGTTTTGAAGGAACATTTGTGACTGACACTTTGAAATTATTCCCTTCATGATAGTCAAATGTGAAAAAGTCATGGAATTGTGGGAATAGATGTCTTGAATGTGAATACAATCAAATTAATTAAAATTTAGCAGTGTGAAGCTGGAAAATAATGACATGGGGATGTTAAAAGGATACAAAGCAAGCATTCAATTAAAAGAAAATAGTCACTACTCTTACTATGAGTCTCACAGAAAGCCCATTCATATGCTAATTTTAGTAGCTGCTAAACTAAAAACAATAGTGGAGCAAGGAATTTTAAAGTATATCCTCTCCAGTGGTCATAATTGGGCCTTGCCCATTGTTGTTTTATGAAAACCGGATGCAGGTATGTGGGGATTACAAATTAGGATTAAACCACAAAATATGCTCCGATTCGTTCACTATTCCTAACATTGAAACTGCTATTCACAGGTTGTCAAGAATGAAATACTTTGCTAAAATTGACCTCAAATCCGTGTATAGCCAGATAAAAATTGATTAAAAATTTAAAGCGGTCACTATGATTAACTCTCCAATAGGCTTACTCAGATGGCAGTGCATGCATTATCATGTAAATAGTGCTCTTTTCAAAGAACAATTGAAAATGTACTAACTCGTGAGGCTAAAAATATGATTGTCTATCAAGTCAATATATATATATATATATATATATATATATATATATATATAATAATTTTTCTTTTTCTGTTTTCTCTTTCAAAAAAGAGGAAGTATTCTGCTTTTGAAATTAATCATTCACTCACCAGTAATTTACCATTATCTGAGGAGACACATTTGTGGTGTTGAAACATGATTGCTATTGTGTAGAAATTTTTAACATGATTTTGTTTGTTTTTTTAATTTTTTAAACTCTGATAATAAATAATATTTAGCTCTACTCTGTATTGAAACCTTGTTTAAATGAAATATTACAAACAGTGGAATTATACTCCATTTGTTCTTACCTATATATATATATATATATATATATATATATATATATGATACCAGAAGAGCTAAAGCAAAAAACGGATTATGTTTTAAAGCAAAATAAAAAATGCCGGGATGACCATAAACAAGGATAATTGTGCTGAATTGTGACACAATAGCATATCTGACATACCAGATTTCCAAAGATGGAATTTCACTACAAATAAAAATGAATTGGAATCTTTTTTAGGATTAGCCAATTTTCATAGCAGATATTTGTCAAAGTATAGTCTATTAATAGAACCTTTTGCAGAGTTAAATAAAATGAATAGCAAATTTAAATTGACTCAATGGCAGAATACAGCATTTGATAATTTAAAGAAAGAACTTATAAAAGAAACCATTGTAAAAATATTTGACTCTAAAAAGAAAGTGACTTTAACTACATTTTTGTCTCAAGAATGCCATCCTATAATGTAGCTTTCTAGAAGTTTAACATCAGCTGATGCTAACTATTCAAATATTGAAAGAGAACCATTAGCTATCAGATAGAGCTCACCAATTTTATTAGGCGAGAAGTTTCTGCTTAAATCTGACCATAAACCTTTGGAGTTTGTTTTTTTAGCCCCAAGAAGGAGTTACCTAAACTTACATCTAGAATTTTATCAAATGGGCCATAAAGCTCATGCCCTTTGACTTTGACATTTGATTATGTGAAAGGAAATACTCTTCCACATCTAGATGCTCTATCAAGACTAAAGTTCAACAATGAATGATTAGAAAGATCAAACAATTCAGAAGATAAAATATTGCACTGGATTGAAACAGATATACTACCCTTAGATTGTCTTGCATTTGAAACCTTACAGGATCTGGTATTAAGCAAGATTGCATGTAGAATAAAAAGAAACAAATGGAGTGATTATTTTGGGGCAGAGAGACCCTATAAAGAGATAAGACACTGTTTAACTATAGAGAAATGTTTTATATACAATGGAGATGTTTTAATACCACTATAGAGATTAAGAAAAAATATAATAAAAAGTGTATTTTTATGATGTTCATTGTGGGATAATGGCAACACAGAGGGGATTAAAATTGGAAATGTGGTGGCCTAGGTATTTGTGTGATGTAGAAAAATATATACTAAAATATGTACTAAAATGTAGGGAAATAAAAAAAACTTTCACCAAGACAAGATACATTAATGGCCTAAAGAGCCATGGGTCCTTATTCATATAAATCATGCTCAATTTAAAGGAATAAGACTATTTTTAATTTTGTTTGAATCATTCAATAGAAGGCCTGAAGTAGTTAGAGTTCAGTCTAGGAAGGCAGCCATGGTAAAGTACATATTACGAGTAATATTTTCTAGAAATGGGGTGCCAAAAACGTTACTTTCTGATAATGCATCAGAATTTTGTGATGAAACTTTGTGTTTGTGCCTCCCTTATAAAACACCACCATACCACCTGCAATTGAATGGAATTGCAGAAAGAATGGTGCAGGTGGTGAAAATAGGGTTGAAGACATTTTCCCCATCCAGAGACACAATAGATTGTTATCTACTGAGACTATTACTGAGTTATAGAACTATTCCACATGCTGGTAGAATTCAAAGTTCCACTGCATTGATGGGAAGACTAATTAGATCACTTCTAACAATGTCCTATTCAATAAATTAAAAAATGTGGTACAATTAAAGACAGACTCAAATCCTGATAAAATTATCTATTATATTATATCCCTTTCTATGAAAGGGATATAATATGGCTATAGTTGCAACAAGTGAACAGAATTTATTGGCTCATGCTGATCACATAAAACCTAGAAATGATGATGAGGAGGAAGAAGATATGAGAGCTTCTGAGTGAGAAAGAAAACACAGTAGAAAAGAAATTATGGAGGATAGTTTGAATAAATCCGACATGGAGTTGGAAGATCAGAATGAAGATGAGTCCAGATCTGGATCCCCAATAAAAAGAAGCAGATACACAACAAGAGAGGCACGGTGGAGTAAAGGATAGTGGCTTGGATTGAGGAATCAGAGAGCCAAGTTTAAATTCTAGTCGAATCCATTACATTCATTTATGTGCTAATACCATTGGGAAAGGTATGAATCCTCTTCTTCTCCCCCCAGCTATGAGTAAATATTAGGACAGACCAGATTCTATAGCATTGGATGGCAACTGGTCTGCCGCAGAAAGAAATGGCAGCCTACTGCGGGGAAAAATCTGCCTCGTCAGTCATGTATCAAAAGAGATATGATCGCCTAAGCATGTATCATGCATGGCACATAACTGACTGATATTCACTTACGTACAAATAGTCTTGGGAAAGTTATGAATCTTCTTATTCTCTCCCCCCCTCCCAGACTATGGGTAAATAGCAGGACAGACCGGGTTCTATACCGTTGGATGGCAACTGGTCTACTGCAGAAAAAAAATGGCAATCTACTGTGGGGAAAAAAATCTGCCTCGTCAGTCATGTATCAAAAGAGATATGATCGCCTAAGCATGTATCATGCATGGCACATAACTGACTGACTGAAAGGCATAAAACATTTTGATTCTGGGTGGCATATAGTCAAGCAACTATTAATAAGTTAGTCATCACTTGGTACGAAGAGAGAACATCTGCGTCACAGACTAGAAGACATTACAACATAACGTTAGAAAAGAAATAGGACTGAAGTCGCAAACAATTTATGTCAAATTCAAATTATAAGCTACAAGTTTTCCCTTTCAAAATTATTTCCCTTGAATCTAATGTACTTTCCGATTCTTTTCTGCCACATCTTCATGCACTCTTGGAAGGATTTTCCTGGAATTCTCTGTAATCACAGCCCTCTTGATGACTTCCATGTCTGGAAAATGGGTCCTCATAATGAATCCCCTTGATCTTGGGGAAAAGGGAAAAAAATCACACTGAGCCAGGCTAGGTGAGTAGAGTGATTGCTACAGCAGAGCAATGTTTATCAAGGGGACCCATTTTCTAGATGTAGGGGGCATAAAGATGGCTTTGAGGGTGAAGCTATAGAGAATCTTAGGTAAATCCTTCCAAGAGTTGCATGTAGGTGTGGTGAGGAAGGATGAGAGAGTGTATTAGACTTGTGGTGCAGGTAATTTTGAAGTGAAAACTTGTAGTCTAGATTTGCCAGAAATTTTTTTATGATTTCAGTCCATTTTCTTTTCTAACACACCTTGTGTTTGTGTGTGTGTGTATACATACATATATATATATATATATATATATATATATATATATATATATATATATATATATATATATATATAAAATCTCATACTGTCTGTCACAGTGTTCTGGAAAGGATTGAGGAATTTTACAAGGTTGATGGGGGGTCATTTTGAGTGCTTACAAAATTAAATAGTGTTAAACAAATGTTAGTATAATAAATAAAGGTAAATGTAAAAAAAATGACGTAAAGTATATATCTGTTTGACCCACCCTACATATATATATCCTCCTCAATGTTTCACAGGGAGTTTGTTCTTAACCTTTTTGTACTCTCTATTCCATGAGTGAATGAAAACTTATCAGTTGACTTTAAGAAAACTTGTTTGGATGAAATCGGGGGAAAATCTCATGAAAAATGAATGCGGTTTACAGATAAACCAACCTGAATAACATTCTTAATTTTATAAAATTACACAAAGATATAATCTCTCACAACCTGAAGTGTGTGTATATATATATATATATATATATATATATAAATACATTTTATATAAAAAAATTACCAATAGTACCTTTTTTATAGTAAATTACCAACAATACCTAATTATAGTATATAATTTAGTTGAAGCCATGAAATGATTCAAAATATTCAGATTTCAGTATTAAATAACCTATAGATATTTGATATGTTGCTAAATAAAATCAACCAACTGACCGACCAACCAACCAAAACAAAAGCGTTCATTTTCATATTCCTTACTTTGTTTTCTATTTTTTTATCTCTACTTTCTTTTTTACTAGACAAGATTTTCAAATCATCATATATTTTTTTTTTTTTTTTTTTTTTTTTTGTAACCTCACTTGCAGGCAATCATCCATCCTGACACAGGGGAAAAAGTGTTCATGCCTTTCAGGATGTCTGGTAAGATCAATCATTCTTTATTCCTTTAACATTCACTTTTTGATTTTTTTTTAAGTCTATTGCAAGACAGCACTCTTCAAATGTCACACAGGAAATGGTCATAAAGCTGAGATGGAAAATTGTGCGTGTAACATATTGTTCAGAAATGTCACCATCAGAGGATGACTTGTTTCATGAGATGGAAAATTCTGCATTTAACATATTGTTCCTTATTTTGGTATGTGGCTTTCTTTAGTTATGGAACTAGTCTGATGAGACTTGATTTACAATTCACTTCAAGACAGAGTGAATATTTTTACCTTGATTTTATGTAATATGATTTAGTCTAACACATTGTTTGAGATTATGTCTGAGACTTCATTTAATCCAAGGCTACCTGATGGAGAATCTTTTTGGTTGGTTTTATACTGGAATTTCATTTACCATAGTAGAGTATGAGTCACCATGGTTTGTTTTATAAGTATAAGAGAAAAAGAAATTGAATGTCGAATAGGTTGTACCAGGGGTAGTTTTGCCTAACACTGCAAATTGCCACGAAACCAAAACCTCAACCAGAAAACTTGAGTCATGTTCTTCAATCATCTTGTCAGTTCAAGACTTTCACATGGATGCCATAGATGGCAATAAACTTGTTCAGACTGTCAGTTGTATACAATGGCTTCCTAAGATTAATGGTGAGAAAAGGTTTTAGAGCAAGTAATCTTGCTTTCTATCCTGAGGGATGTACTGATCACAAGCTAAGTGGTGGTGATGCATGGTGGGGTGCTGTACTGATGAAATAGGTATTCATAGTTGGGATAAGAATGATCTTGAACAGAAAATCAACATGCTCTACCAAGTGTTCCAAGATTTGTACTGAAGATAACTCTTCCCAAAACAGAAAATATGACCTGGAATTGGAATGAAAACCGTGATATCACATACCCTGAATCCATTATCAAAATTCAGAGCATAGAATTAATAAATACTAAACACTTTAAATTACCTCAGCGTCTGAATCGGGTATGACAAACTTAGTATAAGAGAAAATGAAATTGAACATAGAATAGGCTGTGCTAGAGGTAGTTTTATCCAACACTGCAAATTACCAAATAATTAACCAAAGAACTCTAGACATGTCCTTAAATAGTCTTGTCAAATCAAGACTTTCATATGGATGTTATACATGGTGCCAAAACAATTAAGAAAATACCAAAACTGTCAGCTGTAAACAACCTCTTTCTAAGACCAATGGTTAAAATATATCACCTGAAGAAGGCTGGAGCATACAACGGCCAAAACATTGTGAATATGACAATAAAAATGAGGACAACAGTCTGAACAATATAAATAGTATAAATAGTTACATCATCTCAGAAATATAGACAAATTCAAAATGTCCTTTATTTATTTTATTTATTATTTATTTAAGACATTATATAAAATACTTTGTTTAACAGGGAAAGTAATTGTTAACATCTGTTAAAAATTATGGGCAAAAAAGTCTGCATTTTTTACAAGTGTTACTCACAACATTTAGGGTTTTTGTTTGCTACTGCTTATTTTGTTTGACTTTGCACTACTGAAAAAAGAAACTATTACCTTTCATATGGGTAATACACCTGAAGGAGGACATAAAATCTGAGTCTGTCTATATTTCTGAGATGAGGTACTATATACATTATTTACATTATTTGGACTATTGTCCTCATCTTTGTCGCCATATTTAACACAAATTTTTGGCCTTTCAATATCTGTCTATATTTCTGAGATGAGGTTCTATGTACATTATTTACATTATTCGGACTATTGTCTTCATCTTTGTCGCCATATTTAACACAAAGTTTCGGCCTTTCAATATCTGTCTATATTTCTGAGATGAGGTACTATATACATTATTTACATTATTCGGACTATTGTCCTCATCTTTGTCACCATATTTAACACAAAGTTTCGGACGTTGTATGCTCCAGCCTTCTTCAGGTGGTTGGAATTTCGAACTGAACCCTTTATTTCGCTCACTGGGGTAGGCTATTTCTAGTTCCGTGCCATGTTTGATGGATGTCAGTTATCAGTTCTCTCCTGCTAATTTTCCCCCTGAAAGTTCTCCACTCCTCAAGGACACATGGCACAGTGGATAAAGGCATTGGTTAGATTCAGTGACAGGACCCAAAGAGTGTGAGTTCAATACCCGGTTAAGGCAGTGGAGAACTTTCAGAGGGAAAATTAGCAGGAGATAACTGATAACTGACATCCATCAAACATGGAACTAGAACAGTCTACCCCAGTGAGCAAAATAAAGGGTTCAGTTCGAAATTCCAACCACCTGAAGAAGGCCGGAGCGTACAACGGCCGAAACGTTGTGATAAATATGGTGACAAAGATGAGGATAATAGTCCAAATAATGTAAATAATGGACATAAAATCTATTGGTTGAAACATCAGAATAATTAAAAAAAAAACACATAAAAACAAGTTCAGTTTCCCAGAAATCTCTTTAAATTACTTGATTCTTTGGATTTCAATGGACATTTTGTTAGATCTGTACTTTTTAATTTATTATTTGAATTGAATATAAATTATAATCTGTCCATAAAAATTTTACTGGCTTCATGTACCATATGTTTATTTGTATATATGTATATATGTATATTTGTATATATGTATATATGTATATTTGTATATATGTATATGTTTATTTGTATATATGTATATATGTTTATTTGTATATATGTATATATGTTTATATGTATATATGTATATATGTTTATTTGTATATATGTATATATGTTTATTTGTATATATTGTTGCGTAAAATGTTCTATTATTTTCAGGAAGAAAATACACTATTTTTATATGCTTTTTTCATTCAGGCCAACATGCTTAAATTGGTTGTTATATTCAGGGCTGTGGAGTTGAAGTTGGAAGCAATTAAGGGGTCACTGAAGTTAGTCAGTATAGTTTTACCAACTCCGACTCCAGTTGAATTTACACTTTACGTAAAAAGTCTTACATTATAGAATTTTTATTTTTATTGTTATTTCTGTATTTTCCTTTAAAAAAAATTCATCACAACTTCTTTTTTAAAGTCATTTTATTTTTTTGTAGTTATTTTGTATTTGCAAAACTATATATGTAAAAGAATCTTACATTATAGAAATTTTAATTTTGTTATCATTTACATCCTGTAAAAGATTATATCTCAACTTCTGTTATGAAGTAGTTTTATTTTTTTTCTGTACTTATTTCTTATTTGCAAAGATACATATATCTAATATATATATATATATATATATATATATATATATGTGTGTGTGTGTGTGTTTATATATATATATATACACACAGGGTGCGGCTGGTATTGTATTTGAGGAGAGATTTTATAGATAATTTATTTGCTGAACAAATGAATAAAATTATATTTGATTACAAACAAGTAAACATCACATTTAGCTATGATTTAATTTTATTCAATAAAACCACCACTAGCATCAATAACTGCCTCTACTCGAAATCGGCTGCATGCTCTGATTAATTGGTACTTATTTATATCAGACATTACTCAAACTATTGCAGCTTTAAGAGAATCTTTGGTGTTATAAGACCGTTTATTAATCTCCTTCTCAACAACACTCTACACACAATAGTCTAGTGGATTGAGATCTGGAGAGTTAGAAGGCCAAATGTTGGGTGTGATGTGGTCGTACAAATGGTCAGCCATCATTCTTGTGTTCGTAGAGCCTTGTGGAATGGAGCTGAGTCTTGCTGGAATATATAAGGCCTGCCGTTGCATATGTTGTCAATCCAGGACTTGACAACTGTTTCTAGAACCTCAATATAAGCAGCAGCATTTACTCTAAGACCTTGTGGTAAAAAGTGTGGTGGCATAACATGTCCTTCATTGTTAACAACACCCAATACCATAACACTTGAAGGAAATTTTGTGTGCATCACTCTTGGCACCTCAGAAGGAGCTGAACAAAGCCATCTGTCATTTCTTCTGTTAAGTTTTTGATCTTGATCAAAATTTTTCTCATCTGAGAAAAACCAAATCACACCAGCTTCTGAAGGTTTTTTACGTTTGTTTAAAAGCCTTTTGGATCTGTTTAAATGGTTTTCTTTTGTTTTTCCAGAAATAAATTGACCTTTCTTCATCACGTAGGACTTGTATCGAATGTCTTCAGGAACACTCCTTCTGATTGTTTTTTTTTTCAGACACATGCAGGTTTTTTTGACCTCAATTGACCTTATTTTTCATCAATTGTCTGCTTGACTTCCTGAATAAATTCGCATGTTTTCACTTTATCAGAACGTGCAGAATGTCTTTTACATTTTGATACAGACATTGGGGAATTGTCAGTGTCTTCTAACTCTTTTCGTATCTTGTGGACAAATGATCTTGCACATCTGAGGTTAAACGTGCAATATCCAAATCGCTATAATCAGCCTTTAATGCCACAATTACAGCATGCCTTTTCATTACATTTGTTATCATAGGGTTTGCTATTCTTGATTGCTGAAAAATAAATGCATTAGAAGTTAGTGGGAATCAGTATTAATCTTAAATCTGTATGTCCTCAAATACCAGCTGCACCCTGTATATGTGTGTGTGTATGTATATGTATGTATGTATATATATATATATATATATATATATATATATATATATATGTGTATATATATATATATATAAATATATATAAAATAGGGTTTGATATAAAAGCTACAATATCTTTATTCTTTGATATAAACCAGTTCTAATGATATAGGTCTACTCAAGTTAATAGCGTATGCATAGGCTTTATGTGATTTGTAGGCCATAATCACTTAATTACATAAAGAAGAGTTGGAGGTGCCAAAAATGCAGGAGTCAGAGTTGATGGTTTTGTGTTCTGACTCCTGGTTATACTCACAGTGTTTCAGCTGTTGTACACTCTGGCCTTCTTCTGGTTTTGGATGTATGTGTGCCTGTGTAATGGTTAGCGGCTCCAAATGAGAAATTGGAAAACAGAATTTGAATTCCAGTCAGGTTCCTTACATTCACTTGTGTTCAAATACTCTTTGGAAAGATATGAATCTGTTTCCTCCCACCAGCTATGAGTAAAATGGTAGATCTTGTATAAAAAAAATTGTTGGATTATGTAGTAATGGTTAGCGGCTCAGATTGAGGAATCCGAGAGCTGAATTTGTATTCCATTTGAGTTCATTACATTGACTTATGTGTTAATACCCCTGGGAAAGGCATGAATTTATCTCTCCTCCCCAGATAAAATAGCAGGACAGACTGGTTCCTATAGCCTTTTATGGCAACCAGTCTAAGAGAAGGAAACTCTGAATTCAAACCACCTGCTGCCTTATATGTTTTTATCCTTAAGGCAAAAGCTAGAAGATAACTTCAAAAATAAATCCATCTCTGAGAGGAAGGAAAAGGGACTAGCAAGCCATTGCACTATTCTGTCTTGAATGTCACCATCAACCACAATTGTGTGATGGAGGGAAGTGGTGATCACAGTGGCGGTGCACAATGTGCTAACTGAATAAAATGAATGAATGATTCTAAAAAAAATGTTAGTGCAATATTCACTTGTGAAAAGAAAAATTATTCTTACAATCCAAAATATGTTTCAACTTTAAGTAACCCATAAAAGGTTGATAAGCCATAAAAAACAAACCAATCAATCTTCATGTATCTTTCTTTATACTCAGTAATCTTCTTGGAATTTTGAACCAAACCATTTATTTAATCCACTGTAGATTGTTTTCATTCCATTTTCCATGTTTAGGAGATATTTCATATCAGTTAATACTTAATTATTATTTCTTCCATTGATCTAGAGTATGTGACTTTTCTTTGCTGCCAGACCCAGGAATTGAACTTGCAACTACCAATGATTTAAACCACTATGCTATGTATATCTTGAACAATCCAATGGTGTAATTTTGGAGTAATAAACCTCAGGTATTGAAATAAGATTGGTGAATATTAACTAATGTGAAATATCCCCCAAGTGTTGAAATAAGATTGGTGAATATTAACTAATGTGAAATATCCCCCAAGTGTTGAAATAAGATTGGTGAATGGTGGAGTAATGGATAGTGGCTCGGATTGAGTAATTGGAGAGCTGAGTTTGAATTCCATTTGAATACATTACATTCACTTACGTGCTAATACCCTTGGAAAAGGCATTAATCCTCTTCTTCTCCCCCCAGCTATGGGTAAATAGCTGGACAGACCAGGTTCTATAGCCTTAGATGGCAACTGGTCTACTGCAGGAAGAAATCTGCCTCGTCAGTCATGTATTGAAAGATACATGATTGCCTAAACGTGTATGAAGCATGGCAGATAACTAACTGAATATTAACTAATGTGAAATATGTCCTAAGTGTTGAAATCAGATTGGTGAATATTAACTAATGTGAAATATGTCCTAAGTATTGAAATAAAATTGGTAAATATTAACTAATGTGAAGTATGTCCTAAGTGTTGAAATTGGAATGAGAACAATCAATTTCATTGGATCGAATAAAAGGTTTTCTTCAAAATTATAAGTTTAATGAATAATGATGAGAGACACCTGAAAAAACCAGAATGTACAATAGATGAAACATTGAGTATAACAACCAAGATTTAGTATTCTGGTCTGAAGAGCAAGGGAAAATTCCTCAGTTAACAAATTCCAACATAACTTAAGAAAATACATAATTTAAATCGGAAAGTGTGATAATTTTATATAAATAAATATCAAATAGGAATATTAAGATATTAAAAACAATATTTGTAAAATCTCTTAAATGATCAATACTTTTATTTTCTTTTCTGTTTTAGGTTTTGTTCCATTTGGGACACCTTTCGTGAGTATTTACTATTCTGTATAATTATTCTTCATTTAATCTTTTTCTACTCCATATATACAGATAAATACACACATACATGCACTATTATATATATATATATATATATATATATATATATATATATATATAATATATTAAAATCATTAAACATGGACAACAAAATTTTATTAATTTTCTATACATCAGCCTTTTTCAGGTGATATATATTGAATTTCAAACCAATCCCTTTATTTTGTCCACTGGGGTAGGTTGTTCTAGTTCCACGGGCCATGCCTTTTTCTAGATATCTCAGTTTCAGTTATTTCCCTTTTTCAGACATGAAAAGATGAGGACAACGGTCTGAACAATGTATATAATATAAATAGTTATACCTCATCTTGGAAATATAGTTAAACTATTTTTAGATTGTCAATTTTTTTTTTTTTTTTTTTTTTAGATAATGATTTAGTGATACAAGTCATACTAATTAATCCATGGCAGGAGGAAGAAGAGGTGGATTTATACCTTTCCCCAAGGGTATTTGTGCATAAGTGAATATAACGAACCTAACGGGAATTAGAACTTGGTTCTCTTATTAACAATTTTGAGTAATTATCCAGTTATTATACCCACACATCAAAAGGAAAATTTTATTAACTTTTCATTTAGTTTTTCCAGTATTCTTACAATTTTCCATTTCATGGGAGTGAGGGAGTACAAAAATTATCCATATTGTCGATTTTCCCAAGTGCTTTTGGTCACTTCTTTAGTTATTTTCAAGGGGTTTGTTTTTGGTGGTCTTAGTTTATTTTCATGTTTTTGACTGCGTGAGATGTGTTGTGAATTATAGTGGGAGCTTAATTCCAAGCAATCCATGTGTTGGGCATTCCAGTGAGCAACTTTCCATTTTTAAAAAAAACTTTCATACACCACTCCCATTGTTAAACAAGGTGAGGTTGATGCACAGGAACTCCTTTATAATGAGATGTTTCTGGAAATTTAATTTACAAAGGACTCTAGAGTTTTCGACCAGTATCTTTCTTAAGGGATCTTGCAGATTATTGGTTGGTAAATGTCTTTTTATGACACTTTGCTTTGACAAGAGACTTGTGAATCCAAGGAGGTAGCCATCTGATATAATTAGTTTATGACAAGAAACACAGTCTTGTACTTGGCAGTGAAATTGATACATTATATATCAGCAAGTTTAGATTTGATGAGGTTATTTTGATTATTAGCTACAAGGTTTGCAATTTTCCATTTTCAGTAATATATTATAAGTTTTACACGTTTTTCAGGAATTAGAGCAGAAATATTGTGCTTAATGATTTTTCGTATTATGCATCTAGTTATAAAATATATTGATGCTTTGTTGTCATATTTTTGTTACTGGTGTTGTGTATTTTTGTGAGAATAATTTCATTTGTTTATCAATGGTGTCAGTGGGAAAATTCTAGTATTAATGTTTGTTTTATGTGTTTTAGTTCACTCAGAAATATTCTTTGAGAAGAGGAATTTAGGTATGGTCTATTTAGGAAGTTTGTTATCACTTCATTTTATATCTTTCTGGGCATTGCCTATCATAGTTGAGAAGACAAGTGTTCGTGGTGGAGGTCATGGCTTTTGTTATATAGGTAGGTGGTAAATATGTTGGATTTTTAATAAAAATTTTTCTTGTCCCACATATTTAACGATAGATATATATATATATATATATATATATATATATATATATATATATATATATATATATATATATAGTTACCACCAAAGATTTGCTAAAAAAAAATTTAAAAAAAATTGATAAAAAAAAATACCTCAAACTTGATAAAAACAAAGTTTTGTCATCAAAATCTTTGTTATTATTAAGAAGAAAGAACAAAGGAATTTTTGATTATTAAATTATATTTTTTTTGAACCTTCAAAATTTTGCTTAAAAATTTTTTTCTTGTATCAGCGAGTGACCATAAATTAGTATAGAAAATTTTAGTGTCATTTTGTGGTGGAAACTACATTGATTTGAAAATTCTTGCAAGAATCAAATAATTGTTATATTTTAATGATGCTTTCAGGACTTATTCACAAATGAATGAAATTATTTTAGAAACATTTCTTTTGTAGAAAATTTTGGTACTTTTTGTAGGGCTTAACGTTTATATTACTTATAAGGAGAAGTCCTTGGAGAATTTAAATCATTAATTTTTTTTTCTGAAACTCCTCCAGTTATCAAAAATCTGTTCTGAATTATAAAATAAAAAAAATACAATAAAACTAAGACATTATTTAATTAGAAAAGCTTTTAATTGCTTTTATAAATAAGATATATTATGTACACTATTGTCGGATGAAAAATAATATTTTTTGATGAATAATGAATTTTTATAAGAATTGTTTTCATTTTTAAAATAGATTTGATTGTAATAATTTATAAAGTTTTAAATCTTTAAGATTCCGTATTAATTTTTACAGGTTAGGTATTATTGTTATTAAGTAAAAACTATATTTACTAACAATAAATTGAAAGAGGCTAAAACAAGTCAGTGACCCTCACCCCAATATTTTAAAAAGAATTTTGAATTTTTTTGGAGGGGGTGTATAAATTTTCCAATTCTTTTTGTATAAATTCAATAAAAATTAAATTTTTCTAAATTTTTAAGATTACCAGGTAGTTAAAAAAATTCTCTAAAAATGGTGCCTAATATATATATATATATATATATATATATATATATATATATATATATATATATATATATATATACGTAAAATAATATATATGATATAAAATATATATTATAAAATTTATATATATATATATATATATATATACGTAAAATAATATATATGATATAAAATATATATTTAAAATTTATTATATATATATATATATATACGTAAAAATAATATATATGATATAAAATATATATTATAAAATTTATTATATATATATATATATATATATATATACAAAATAATATATATGATATAAAATATATTATAAAATTTATTATATATATATATATATATACGTAAAAAATATATATATGATATAAAATATATATTATAAAATTTATTATATATATATATATATATATAAAAAATAATATATATGATATAAAATATATATTATAAAATTTATTATATATATATATATATATATCGTAAAATATATATATGATAAAAATATATATTATAAAATTTATTATATATATATATATATATACATAAAAATATATATGATATAAAATATATATTATAATTATATATATATATATATATAAAATAATATATATGATATAAATATATATTATAAAATTTATTATATATATATTAAAATAATATATATGATATAAAATATATATTATAAAATTTATTATATATATATATATATATATATATATAATTATTTATTTAAAATTATAACATAAAATATGTTATAAAATCACTCAAAAATAGCCATTTTGTTTCAACACCTTTGGTGTCTTAATATGATGATGTTGAATGTAGATTGTAGAATGAATGTTTTAAAAGGTTCAAATCAACTAACCACTTGTATATATAGTATATATATATATATATATATATATATATATATAAATCTAAATTATTATTGTTTTTCATTCTTCAGAACTTAATTAAGGACAAAAAATAATTTTAATTTTTGTACAATGACTAAAATGTAATTATGTAGAAAAAATTACCTGAAACCTTCAACATTATCAATTGCAAATGCTAAGGATTGTTAGATTTTACATATAAGTTCACAAGTATTTATATATCAAATTTTAGCAGTCCTTCACCTTTAAGTCAAAGGAGGTGCTGTTAAGTCATAATTTTATTTGTTTTCTACTTATACAGGGTGCGATGGGTAAATTGTCGCCATTTTATATTAATTTTGTACATATGCATTATTTGTTTTTGATTTTGTCAACTGCATAGTATAGTAGGGTCAGCTGGGCACTATCTGTGAGAAAAAGAGCACCATGACACAATTCACTCTGCCAGAAAATTGGAAAAGGCATAGTGTGCTGCTTGGCATTCATGCCAGAAGCTTCAATATGAACATTTCAGAATATTTGTGTGTCAAGCTGAGGACAGTGCAGAGGACTCAGAAAGATTTGGATGAGTCTAGGGATTATGAAGGTACAGCAGCTCAGAAAACTCACTCTAATCATTCTGATAAGAAGAGAACTCACTAATTTCTTGGTGAGATCCAGGCCATGATTGACAATGATCCTTTCAAGTTAATCAGGTCCATAGCCAGAAACACAGGAGTGTCTGAGTTTCTTAACAGGCTGGTAGTGCATGTAAGCATTTGTTATTTCTCATACAAGATAAGTAAAGGTAAATTTTTAGCCCAAACCATGAAAGACAAAAGGAAAGACTGCCCCTACAAAGCTTCTGAACAAACCCAAGCATCCCCCTCCAACTGTGAGGATAAGATGGTGAACCTACAGAACAACTGTTGGCTTGCCATGCACCCCCAAAAGATGCACTGAGAGTGACGAAAACCAAATATCCAGTCAACATGGTGTTTGGAGTGATCACAAGTGATGGCGACATTATGCCTCCATTCATCTTCGCACAGGGTCTCAGACTCAACACAGATGCCTACATCAAGTGCCTTGGAGGTATTATTTTCATTTTGGCATCATTTAGACGACAATTTATCCATCGCACTCTATATTGCTGACAGGTAAATTTTTTCACTCTAAGTATTTTTAGTCCTTGTGAACAAATTTATAATCTTTTTTGTCTGTTTTTGTTTACCATTTTACAGTATATTTTTGCTTTCTCTTCCTCCCCTTGTTTTGGTATATTTGCAAGTATTGTATATTAATATATACTTTTTTAATATATCTATTTTGAAAGTCCTAATTGGAATATGTTTAATTCCTGTGAAGAGATAATGAAAATATCTTGTCTCAATGCACTTTCCAAAATTTGACCAAATGAGAGAATTTTTTTTGAAGAGCTTCTTGGTCAGTGCTTCCTTCTGTAAGCTTTGGGTAAATGAA